CCTCGCCTCTTCTTATTCCACCAAGAGAATGTGACTAGGCAGAAAGAGAACTCTGGGTGAGCCCCTTTCTCTGTTTACCTAAACAGATTGGTAACCTCTTAACTAGACTTTAACCCAAGTCCTCCTGCACTGAAAAATAGAAAGGCACATGTCCTCCCCTAGCCCTCTGCACGGAGAGTGGAGTAATATTTTTTTTATCTTCTGGTGTAATCAGGAATGAAACTCTGAGATCTCGGTGGTCAGCTTATACCAGCTCTATGTGTGCACTGCCATTCTCTCAACTCAAACCAACCAGTCAAACTGAGATCCCTGGGCCTGCATCAAAATCACCTGACACTTCCAAAAAAACCTCAAAAAACTAGTCTTCTAACCTCAGACCTACTGAATGGAATCATCTCTGGGGCTGAGGCATTAGAATATACATTTTAAACACTCTGGTTGTTCTGTATGAAAAATTTAGAAATACTGGCTTGTCCTCTCTCCCACCTCCTTGCCTTTGCTCAAGTTGTTTCCTTGGCTTGGAGTAGTCTTTCCTCTATTGAATTCTTACACATTTTTCAAGAGCTACCTCTTCCTAAAAGTCTTCCCAGATTCTCCGAAGTTGAAATTATTTTTGTATCTTTATTATTGCACTTATTACGGTCTTTCTTGTAGAGTTTTGCTAGTTTTCCACCAAACAGTAAGCTCCTGGAGGGCAGTAATGACCAGCTATCTTCATAACCAGCAGAATACTTTGTATATAACAGGCACTAGGAGAATATTGGTTGAATTTGGATCTACCCTCTAATTCCTTTTTTCCACTAATCCATCCTGCCTGACCTCCTCAAATGAGTGCAAATCCCTTCGGAGCAGGTATGATTAAGCCCAGGGTGACAGAGGACAGAACTAGTAGCCACGACCAGCCTGAGCTCCCGGCGCGTTGCAATGGGATGTGTGTTGGTGTGTGGTTGGAAGGGTTGTTAGTGACCCTTCTTCCTTCCTCACCCTCTCGGCTGTCCTCTGTCAGGAAAGCTGAAAAGATCCCCCAAGGTCCCAGTTAAATCCACAGCAGTGAAGACATGGCTACAGTTGCACTCTGGGTTGGTTTTCCTGTCTGGAAACAGATTTTGACCATTCATCTCACTAGAGAAGCACCTTCGTTTTGCACCGTGTCCTCTGCGACTCTAAGACAAAAAGTATGGCTGGCTGTGCTTCCACTGATGCCACAGCGGCACTCGCTGCATCGCACGGGGAGCAAAGGTCTAGAGATGAACTCCAGTTCCTAGTAGATGGTTCCTCCCAAGCTGTCCTGCTTCCGTCACTGATATTTTGGGCATTTTTGTGGTTTTGGATGGCTTTTCATCCCATCGTGTGCGTCTCCATCAGCTGACTGGATAGCTCGTTGCCCAGACCATTGGCAGTATAAAGTGATACACAGAAGAGAGAGCTTTCTTATGTACTGGAGAGCGACAAGGAGAACAGGTACTAGAGACACCTGTAGGGTCTGACTAGGGGGGTGTAGTAACTGAGGGTGATAGCACATTTTGGGAGTCTCTCCAAATATTAAGTCATTGCCGCTTGAAAGTATTACATTGGTTATTTGGCCTCACACCAGGCAGCAGGATTAAACTGAGAAAATCATTGATTTAGCAGGCAAGACCAGATTTTCAGGGGGTAGGTTAGGATTTATGAAAGCGATAGTGTGGTAGAAGAGACTAGATAGCTATGGTAGAGGGGTCTCCTTTCAAACTTAGGGGGACCCACCTTTTCAATATTTTTGTCTTTAGATTTGTAATGTTTAGGGAAGTAATGCATTAGGAAGAACTCCATATGCCCACAATTAGCCACTGAGTGGAAACATGGAATTCATAAATGAACAGATTAGGAAATTTTAAATTTGGGTAGAGGAAGGCCTCTCCCTTCCTCTGTATCCCTCCAAAGCGTTCAGGGCTATAAAGTGACCAAAGATAATGAGGAAAGGTCATTGAATTTGATGAGAGTTGCTGACTGACTTTTAGAGTAAATTTAGTGAAAATTCCTGGGCAGGGGATGGGCCTGAAGGAATGGAGACAGTGCATGTTGATCATTCCTTTAGTAATTGGCCTGGGGGAAAAAAGAAGACGGTATTTGTATCAGCTGGATAAAGTCTGTGTTCAAAAAAATAACAGAGAATACAATTCCAGGGACCCATGGAATTTCCTGTGCTGACCCTTTGTGGTCAGATCCTAACCCCTGGCGGCCATCCCTACAGTCATTCTTTTTCAGAACGTCATATAAATTGAATCACATAGTATGTAAAAGACGGACTTCTTTCACTTAGCATAATGTCTGCTCTAGGTAAATTTAAAAAATACTTTAAAATGCAATGACCTCCCCCCCCCCCAAAAAAAACCCCAAACAAATAGACAAACAAAACTGGTGGGGACCTGAGAAGATGAATGTCGTGAAGGTGTGTTAGGAACATACGGGGTGGGGCAAAAGTAGGTTTACAGTTGTTCATATGAAAAATAATACAATAATAAATAATAACACAAGAACAAACTCTGTTTTGTGTACTCACGACGTGTAAACCTACTTTTGCCTCACCCTGTATTGAGGTGTAAGCATGAAGGTGTAAACATTATCTCTTGAAGAAAATCTGATGAGATTAACTTGGAATGAGTGTTGGAAAGGATGGAGAAGAGGCCAGTGGTGCCCTTGACTAGTCAAACGTTCTCTTTTTTTAAACCAGCCTCCTTTCCTTCCCTGACCTTTCCCTCTTTCTCCCTCTGGGGGTGGAGGGGTGAAGTGCATATATACACACATACACATATATAAATACATATATGTGCATTTTCACGATAGAAGCATTTCTGTTACAAAGAGGTCATTCATGCATGTCAGATTCAGCTTCAGATTTGGTGGAGGGCTGTCTGATGAGTGCTGGTACCAGGATTTATAATCTAGAACTGTGCATTCGTTTCTCAATCCAAGGTTTATTTTGCAAAATTTTTCTTCCTCAGTTTTGTTTTCATCTTTTTTTTTTTCAAAGTAATAGGAATTTAAAAATTAAGAACTAAAATTATAGAAAGTAAGAAATTTAACTTTTGATATTTTAGAATTGGAATATCATTAATGTAAAATGTCACTAATCACATCTGTACATAATTTCCATATGTCATTTCTTGGTAGTGTTGATTCATTTTTTGCAAATTAAATTATGTATATATAAATTTTATTATAAAAGTACTTACTAATCTCATACTCACTGATTCCTTTGGATATGTTTTCATTAGAAATTAACTGGCTTTTGTTTTCCTTGTCTTTCTCTATAGTTGCGATATTCAGCTATAGAAATGATGTTATTCCCCTAAAGAGAAAATAGAAAGCAGGCAGGGTTTCTTGGGACATTTATCACATTCACAAATTAGAACCTTCACCTAACTATTTTTCACCTGTGATGATTAATGTATTTGTGTCCTCATATATGTTAACCATATACTCAGCTGATGATGTAATTTGTAGGGAGACGTAAGGAGATCTTACCATATACCAGAGTTCTTCAAAGGAGAGTAAAATGTTCTATTGCAGGTTACTCTTGGTGCTAGCATTGAAGTTATTGTAAATCCACCATATTACTATTCTGCTATAAATACAGTTATTTTACTGTATCTTTGCATTTGTCTGGGGGGAGGCAGGGGGCGGGGGGAAGGCAGTTATCTGATACTTTTTGTATATCCGGAAGTCAGAATCAGAAGTCCAAAAAGTAAATATAACAAACCTGATGTTTACTCTGTGACAGGTGCTTTAGTATTGCCCTGTTTAATCCCCACAATAATCTTATGAGATAGTCATTGCTGCCACAGTTTATAGAAGAGGAAATTGAAGCTTCTGTAGCTACAGAACTTGTCCAAGGTCATACATCTAGAGCTGGGGTTTCAACTAGGGTTGGTGTGTCTCTCAAGATCCTCATTCTGAGTGCAGTGACTCCCATATTTAGTCATTCACAGAAACCTTCTTCAGTGCTCACTATGTGACAGGCCTAAGGGATCCAAGATTAAAGACAGATATATGGAGTCCTAAGGAATTCCTTTATCTGTTTTTTGGGCTGCAGTAGATAGGAAACAGATTAGAAAAAGATGAAGGCTTGAGGACAAAGACACTATGTTATCTACTCTTACATCCACAGGATAAGCACAACACATAGTAGGAGCTCAATAAATGCATGCTGAATGTATTGATGGCAGTAGTGACAAGTAGTAGCTAACTAGGAGAGAGAATGAAGTATAGAAAGGATATAAAATCAAACAGCAGAGCTGTCTTGGGCCATTTTAGAGTTTGGATAAACATTTGGATACTCAGTATCCCCAGGGAAATGGAGATCCTCCTGTGTGCTCACTGAGGCCCAGAGTGATGACCTGGGCCACTGAGTGGCTGAGGTGACCCAGGCTCTGTGCAACAGGGAGGCGGTCACTCATGAATGTGGCATCTGTTTAAAAAAAGCAAGGAAGTGTGTAAAGCATTTTAGAAAAGTTTCCATAAAAAATGGCCTCTCCGCCCCACCCCCTTAAAATAAGTGAAGGGGCTAAACTTGAGTGTCTTGGAAAAACCACATAGGTGGAAGAGCTCTTTCCCTGATGATACTGGATAAAGAGGTGTTACATAAGGTAATTGGTTTTCTTTCCCCTGATAAAATATAACATTACATTTTCATGCCAAATGAATCTTTCAAAATTTAAGTTATGTTCTTTGGGAGATACGTTATAAAGAACTATATATAGTATATAACATAATCTATAGTACTGTAACAAGTGGACAGGTTGCATAAAATAGCAAAACATTTTTTTGAGTAATATCATTTGAAAGAATTATGATGTGTTGAAGTAATTTCTGTTCGGAGCACCATTTAGCTTTTTGTAAGGAAAAATATGGGGAAATTAGGAAACCATTGAAATGATTTCATTTTCATTATTCAACAGCATCGATGCGCTACTTTCTTGTTCCGAGAATGTATCTATTAACGGTGATGTTTTGCTTTACAGCTTTTCTGGGAGAAGAGGCTACAAGGACTTAGTGCATCAGATGTAACAGAACAAATTATAAAAACCATGGAACTACCTAAAGGTCTTCAAGGTATTATCTGAGTTCAGTTGAGCAGTGCCCACTGTGTGCTGGGCTCTGTGCTAGAAGCTGTGGAGTCAGAAGTGATTGAGACAAGGTCTTTCCTTGGGGCATGGTATGGCTTGCTGGATGACCGACCTCCTGTGTAAACCCAGGCGGAAATGTACATGAAACGCTTGTATTTGGCACAGATGCTTTCAGTGTATTGCCTAAGCTTTAGGTTAGGTTTCTCATATAAATTAACCCATATGCTGCTTTTAGAACCAAGTGCAGCTGAGTGGCAGACTTTCCCTAGCTTCCACTTTAAAGCAGCATCTGGCCCCGCCCCAGCACTTCATCTTTCTTTTCTCTGATCTAAAGAGCAGCTAGCAGCTTTCCCTCTCCATCTCCCTCCACAAACTGCTGCTGCAGATCGCAGTGGGAACCAGTGCACCTCAGTCCAGTAACAGCCGCAAGTGGGATCTGGGCTGGAGAGCTCAGTTGCTCGTGTGCCTTTCATCATGTTAATTCCAAGTTCTAGAGAAGCATCATTTTTGAAGTATGAGAACTTCCGCTTCTAAATCTTGACGTATTGTGGATTGCTTAAAAATCCTCGTGATTCATGGTTAGAATATCATCTCATTCCTCTCTCTGTCCTTGGAAATTGTTGCGTTAACTGGTTTAAACAGGGTTTAACAGGTGTTTGACTAAGCAGTGCATTTGAATGTGGCCATAGGGGCCAGTCTCCTAAAAGTAGTCAAGGTGTGCAATTATTAAATGAATTTGTGAACTTGGATATTTTGTTTGAAAAAACTGTAAAAGCTGCAGGTACAGGATAGTTGTATTGACTTCTTTGAAGTATTGAAACAAAGAAGATAAGTGTCCAGATATTGCTAGAAATTAATGTTAAAAGCTACAGGAGAAACCACTCCAGGAATAGTTTAGGAATACATTAATGAGCATACTTGAGTATAATATGAAGGGACTTTAGAAGGGAATTAGATCATTAAAATAATTGACCTTGCTTGAGGAAATGTAGCCAACATTTAAAAAGTTGAGAGAAAAAATTGGAAAATGTATTTTAAAAGTGATGTTAAAGTCTTATTGAAATGCTCTGCTGTTTTTTTTACTGTTTACTTAATGTTAATTCTTTGGTGTATAATAACTATTAAGTCGATATTATATAATCCTTTGATTCTTTGGCTTATATCAGTTTTAAATATATGATCCCAAATGAATATAAAAATATTGATTGTTGTAGGTGACAAGGTTTGCTTAGCACATCTAGGAATTTCCTTTAACAAGTCCATTATTCTGATTGCAGGAGTTGGTCCAGGTAGTAATGACGAGACCCTTTTATCTGCTGTTGCCAGTGCTTTGCACACAAGCTCTGCACCAATCACAGGGCAAGTCTCCCCTGCTGTGGAAAAGAACCCCGCTGTTTGGCTGAACACATCTCAACCCCTCTGCAAAGCTTTCATTGTTACAGATGAAGACATTAGGTAAGGCGGTTTGACATAACTTCAAAAACTTGTTTTTTAACTTTGGTAAATTATATACTGCCTGTTGGGTTCAGTGGCACATCTATTAAGTGATGAATCAATCAGAAACTTACGTATATATATTTACAGAGCTTTTGTGAAACCAGTGGAAGGTGATATAAGACATTTAAAACAAGCACATACTTGAAAAAGGTGGAAGTGTTGTGGATAAGGGTCTCATTGTGGTCAGTTGTACACTCTACTCACCGTTTTTGTAGTGTCTTTTGTAGACTGGGGCTCTTTCATTTGGTTATGCCTTTTTTAAAAAAATTGATTTTTAGAGAGAGAGGAAGGGAGAAGAGAGAAACATCTGTGTGAGAGCATAACATTCATAGGGTGCCCCCTGCACGCCCCCTACTGGGGATTGAGCCTGCAACCTGGGCATGGGGAATCCAGCTGAGCCATACCTGCCAGGCCTGTTTTATGCCTGTTGATTGCTTCCTGCATTGGTTTGTCTGCAAAGCAGTCTCTAAAGCAGATCATAGCCCTACTGCTTTAAGCTCAGTTGTGTTTTAAAAGTTCCATTTACTTATCTTGATTATGTTTACCTTACTTTTGGTCAATTTAGAGATTTACTTTGTTATTGTTTCTTTGTTTCAAGGGAAGATTTAAGGTGGCTCCAAAGAGAGAGAGACACAGATACTCACTCACTCACTCACTCACTCACTCACTCTAAAGCCCAATGAGAAGCAAAGGTGAAAGGTGAAGCAAAGGGCGAAGCAGTAAAACAGAGCCGGGAATGAGGAGAGTGCAAGAGCTGCATTTATCTTTTACTTTTTTGGAGGCTTGGCCACGATTTAGTTTTTTAGTAGCTAATAGGGAAAGGAAAGCATACAACTCAAGTTGATAATGCCCAGAAAGTATAAGCAGACTATTGCTCAGGAGAAGTAAAACTATTCTCGATACTAAGGCCTCAAGGACACTCTCATGAGGGGTTTATGGACTGTCGTATCCTTGCTTTATAAAGGTAGTGTAGAATACTGTGTTTTCTTTATACACAGGGCAGAGTGTATGTGCTCCCCTGTGTCTGTCCTCTGGCTGTGTAAATGGGGAAGATCTGCTGGGTAGTCTTCCTAAACAAAGCCAGCAGATGGCACTTTAGAGTCATGTAATTGACAAATACGTTTTATATTTGTATTTTTTTCCCTAAATCCATTAAAGTTGGCGTGAGAATGTTTTTCAATGCGTGAATCCAACTAGGTTTATAATTGGGTTTAAACCTTTCTGGGTTTATAAAGCTGTAGAGTGGTTCAGAGCTGCATTCATTCAGAGGCCTTGGTTACACAGACTTGATGGTCAGCATTATTTTTTAAGAAAAACAAAATGTAAAATCTAGGAGAGGAATCAACTTGCTTTTTTGCTTATTTTTACCCTTAAGAAAGGAGATTAGGAGTTGTTTTCTGTCTTGCAATGAGTAATCGGCAGGATTTCGCCAGGTCATTATGGGTGTTGACTGAGGCTGTCTGACTGATGGCTTGGGAATGTTGATGGCTTCAACACCAGATCTTTTGATAATGGAGGAAACTCTCAAAGCCAGATCTGGGTGATTTCCTTTTAAGGCAGACTTGTCTAATGAATTGCCTATTTGATTCAGTTGTCATAACAGAAATTATTAAGCAGACGTTTCTTGTTGAATTAGTACAGGTTCAAAATAAATTACTGCAAATTGAATTGTTGCCCTTTCTCCAATTGTGCAGCCAGTATTATGTTTATAGTAAACCTCCAGTTAAAGATCTCAACATTAAGTATGTATTCTTTCAGGATCTTTGATAATATTTTCATCCCTGGGCATATTTGTTTTCTAATACTAAGTGACAGATTCTCATAAACTTAGCAGCCTAAAACAAAGCCTGTTTATAGCTCACAGTTCTGTAGGCCTGGAGTCTGGGCGAGGCTGCACTGGATTCTCTGCTCGGGTCCACAAGCCTGAAATCAAAGCGTCTGCTGAATTGCACTTCCTTCTGGAGCTTGGGGTCCCCTTTCAGGCTGCGATGGCTGTTGTAGAATTCTTTTCCTTGTGATTGTAGGACTGAGGCCCCTGTTGTCTTGTTTACTGTGGGATGGGGGTTGTGCTCAGCAGTTAGAGACTGATGGTAGTCCCATGGGTCCCTCCATGTTCCCTGTCCAGCTTCTTTCAGGAAGGGCCAGCACCTTTCAAGGGATCCTCTTATTAGGTCAGATCCTCTATGATAATCTCTTTTGATTAATTTAAGGTCATTTGATCAGTAACCTAATCTTGGAGTTTTATCCCATCCTATTTGCAAGGTCTGCTTGTCCTTCAGGGGAGGGAATTATACAAGGAGTGTATACAGGGGTGGGATGGGGGGCACCTTGGGGACTGTGCTACAGTTCTGCCTACCCCAGCAGGCAAATGCTTTAACTTCAGCTTTCGTAAGTGTGGGAAGTAATTCTCAAGATGAAAGAGAATCGTGGCAAATCTTAGAGTCTAAGATATACTTCGCCAGCCAGCAGCGCGATTCCCTTCGTTTTCTTTGTCCACCTAATGGGATTCTCTGGGGCAGCCGAGCACATTCTCAGGCTCTGTTATTAGGAGTGAGAGGCTGCCAGTGAGACCCGTAAGTCATTTGTCATGGACCTCGAGTCACTGAGCCGGAGGCAAGACCAACTATATAAGAAATAAACAGTGTGTTCTTCTTGACCTTGCTGCACTACATGAAAATCTGTTGAACTCCAGTTTCTTTTAATATGACAGCGGCTGTGGATCTCAGACTAGCTCAGTGACAGCCTCCCTGTTTTTGAAAATTTATTTAAAAAGTGGAGGCCTGTACCTTTTAACTCTTTGTTGTGTTTTCAGTTTAATAAAGATGACATCTAAGGCTTTTGTGGCTGCACAATACATGTTAACTTCACTACCCAGGGGTAGTCCCATGAGATAAAGAGACTTGTGGCCTGGGATAGATAAATCTAACTTTACAACTGGCTGAGCGCCCAGGGAGTGAACGCTTAGAGAGCCTTAGTGGGATCTTCTGGAGCTTTGGCTTCCACCCCTCTGCTTCCAGGTGTGGGCAGTGCTGCAATTTGTCTTCCTTGATTACTGATAGAGGAAAATCGCTTTTTTTTTTTCCCTCAGTAGAGCCTCAATATACTCCTTGTTGCATCTCTTGTCACTGGGCTTCCCTCCCACTCGCCATCCATCCTTACCACCTTCCCTCTGGTCTCAGGAGGTGGTGGGTTCTGTTTTCTGTCACAGCCAACCCTCCCACCTGTGCCTTTGTCTCTCCCTCGTCCTTTCTTGTTTTCTCTAAGGCTTTCATGTATCGTCTCCTCCCTCCTCCTGTGTTGCTTCAGCCATTGCCTGTCCACGTGGTCTGGATGGACACCGTCCTCGCTGGCTTCGGCTGTTCTAGGATTCCCTCTCTTGCCCTGTCAGGAAGCCACTCTCAAATTTTCTCTGCTTTTTTTGAGATAAAGTGCATACCAATAGCCTTTCTTCTATGCTTTGTTTTCCATCTAAGGGTTCAGAACCTTTTTATTTTTTTATGGCTTGGCTTCACACAGACACAGATACACCTGTGGCATGTTCTTGACCTGCTCACCTCAGTTGAAGTCGAGCTTTTCCGTTTCTGTCCTTGTATAGAGGAGCATGTGGTCTTGGTTCCTTCATGGTGGCCTGTAGCCAGCAGGCCTGAGAACCAGGAGAGAGCTCAGCTGGCTCCCTTCTGAGGGCCGCAGAATGCCAGACTGAATCCAGCTTACCCTGCTCTGTGCCTCCACGCTCTTCAGGGCTTCACCGAACACACTTCTTTCTTCTTTATTTTCCATATTTCTTCCTGTTCTGTCCCTGCTGCCAAGATATTTCTAATTACCCTTTATAGGAATAACCCCATAGCTTCACGTATTTGAAATTCTTCAAGTTGAAAAAAAGGCCACTTTGAAATAAATGTACCCCTCCCGGAATTCTCTGTGAGATGAGGGATCCCTGCTTATCCCCTGTGGGTGTGGTTTTGTGAGTATAGGAGCAACTTTTGCAAAGTGTAAGGAGAAGGAGATGTGTTTTTCTTGGGAACGTTCATGATTCTGAAGTAAAGCTGACCTTTCACAGAAGCTTCATATTTCCATAACTTACCAGTGACCTGAATCTTTTGATTCTGTTGTTCCAAAGGAAACAGGAAGAGCGAGTACAACAAGTGCGAAAGAAGTTGGAAGAAGCCCTGATGGCAGATATCTTGTCACGAGCTGCTGATACAGAAGAGATGGACATTGAAATGGACAGTGGAGATGAAGCTTAAAACATGACCAGGTGAACTAACCTCAGAGAGAGAGAGAGGGGCTTGGGACTTAGGACGTTCTCTCTTCTTGCTCTTGCCTTTTGCCTCCTGCCTGAGCAGGGAATGAAAAGGCTTCCCCCTCGCAGAGGTCCTGCAGGAGTCTCGTTTGCCCCTCCCTAGAGTTAAGGACCACATCAGTGATTGTGTGAAGGCAGAGGTCCTGCAGCGGGGAAACCTCCAGGTGTCCCTAGAGAGGCAGGGGAAGAATGCAGGGAGGTGTGGCCACAGGGGCCGGAGGTGGCCGTCATCTCCACACCCTAGCTTTCTGGGGTCTATTGTCTCCCCTTTGAAATTATGGCCTCAAAGTGGGCAAAAATCCCTCCCTCTTTTCTTGATTCTCTCCAGCATAGATTTGATGCTGGGAGAAAGAGGATTTTCAAATTCTAATAAATACCTTCCCTTAAGACAGATCTTGATCCTGTGCTCATCTCACACAATAGTTTCATGGACTTTGTCCCACTGGGTACATGTTCTCTTTAAATGATTATACTGAAATCTCAGAGTGTTTATGGGGCATCCGTGTCCCAACTGTTACCCCACTTTGTTCCTTTAGGCTTTGTCCTACTTGCTGCACTCATAGCTGATCCTTTGTTTGTGTCCTTGGAAGCCAGAACAGGAGGGGGGAGGAAGGATTGGG